CCCATGATGCCAAGTAAATACATTCGTCCACGAGGTAATACGCGGGTAAAACACGACCTCGGGAGAAAAAGCAAATGGGGATAAAACACCCATGATGCCAGGTAAATTGGACTTCGTCCACAAGGTAATACGCGGGTAAAACATGACCTCGGGAGAAGAAGCAAATGGGGATAAAACACCCATGATGCCAGGTAAATTGGACTTTGTCCACGAGGTAAGACGCGGGTAAAACACGACCTCGGGAGAAAAAGAAAATGGGGATAAAACACCCATGATATGCCAGGTAAATTGGACTTCGTCCACGAGGTAAGACGCGGGTAAAACACGACCTCGGGAGAAAAAGAAAATGGGGATAAAACACCCATGATATGCACATGTGTATAAATCATGCTATGATAGATGATCAAATGACAATGCAGATGTCGACGACAAGGCTCAAATCTGTTGGTAAGATGACAAGACTAGAAAACTGATTCCTCAACCCGGAGATCACTACCACTTACTAAATTGTAATCAGGTTAATGGTCCTCGTAGAAAGGATGGAAAGCCGCTTGGAGATCTTTCAAGTAAACTGCCCCAGATTAAATTGTCCATTACAGATGAACTGATAATTGCTTCAGCTTGTCTGATTCTGAAAATGACTGTTTTATTGTACCCTCGAAAGGTTTTCCCCAGTGTGAGTCTTGGAAAAAAAAACCTTTGGATAAACCAAATCTGAGAAGATCTTGTCTTGAACAAATCTTGAACTGATTCTTTGACAAGATGTAAAAGGAACTTGCCCCTGATAAGATCACTTGACCAAGTTTCTCATTGTTTAAAAATTCCTTAGAGGAAAGCCAGTTTGCAAACAAAAATATTCATACAAACATGGTAATGCAAAGTTCATGCGACTTTTGAAATCAAAATTATTTTTGAAAAATGAAAAATAAGTCGTTGGTCAGAACACGGTGGTTCAAGACGCTCAAAATTTAAAACAAAAGTGTATTGCCAAAATAAATGATTCACAAAGATCTTTTGGAGTCAGGTTATGCAACCTTGTTGTAGTATACTTTCAAAATAACCTTGCTTCAATTAGGTCTTTTGAGGGTTGTAACGTGGTCTGGTTCATGGTTTATGAAACAAAGGATAAAGGCTCAAAATTTATTTATACCCACCCCATCTACATGATGATCTCCAGTCCTATGCTCAGTTAACTCCTATTATGCATTCAGGTTCGTATAGATTAGGAATTTCACTGATGGTAGCAATGATGGTTCAGAAGTCAATGAACCTATGAAAAGCAGCCACTACTTCCTTATGATATTTGGTCATTTTGACATTGAGGATTTTCAGGGTAAAGATTTAAAACTCCTCTTTGTATTATCCCTAAATTTTGCCTGAACTGTTTTACAGTCAACGGGATGCCCCAGTTTTGCCTAAGTCTCCTTCATAGGTTTTGACTTAGCGGGCTCTTTCTTTTGAATTTTTTTTTTTGAAACATGACTGCCTGGTTTAATGATTACGGTGAACCATCATCGGTGTTTTTGACTTAAAAATAATCTTCGACACTTGTTTGTTGTGTGTGAAGGAAAATTGTAAGTGCGACCTTTATATGAAATGTATATTGCATGAACACATAACCGAGTTAACTGAGAACTACCCATCCCCAGGTTAAAATTGCGGGTTTTTTTTTTGTAAAGAAAGGAACTCCAACTTCTAGGCTCGAAGGGGTTGACAAGGGATTAACTTCCTTATTTCTTCAGTGTTTGGGAATTGAAACAATGCCTTACATCATCAACAAGGTTTGATTGAAAGCATACTGATAGCAATTATGGATATAACGTTATCATCATCCTCCCTCCAATCTTAGCATACCAAAAATTTGGACAAAAAGTAAATAGTAGGCAAAATGAATTGAATCAAAAGTCGCAATGCTCATTTCATTAATGTAAAAGTACAAACATAATTTGAAAGCAAACAACTAATACGAAATAAGGAAAATGCAAACAACAAGGAATAAAAGGCCTAGTGATAAAACTTCATTTCTGATGCACTGGCAAAGGATTCTTCTGGATGTTTGGAGGATTGTCTGGAAAATCAAGTATCCCTGCTCTCATCAGCTCACGCACTCTGGCTTTCAGTGCAAAACAATGCTCCAAGTCATGGCCTAAGGCACCCTCATGAAAAGCGCACTGGAAATCAGCCCTAAATCCAGCTGGAGGAGGATTAGGAGGAGGTGGTAAAGCCCTTGTAGTGATCAGCCCTTGTTGAACCAGGTAAGGATAAAGTTCTGTGTAAGTCATGGGAATAGGATCAAATTGATTCCTATTTCGATACTGGTCTTGTCTAATAACTGGACGTTGAGGATTCTGAGCTGGCTGCGGAGCAACAACAGGTTGAGATCCCTGGCGAGGCTTTCTTGATTCAGTCATGACAGCATTGGTCTGCTCGTCCTTCCTCTTATGGAAATTCCCATAGGATTTCTTTGCACCATTAGAAGATTCGGCAGCTTTGGATACCTTCCCATTTTTCAAACCTTCTTCTAACCTTTGGCCAATAGTCACCAGATCTGTAAAGCTTGAAGAGACGCTCCCAATCATCTTTTCCCAATAGAAAGGAGACAAAGTATCCATGAATATTCCTGTCAGTTCCTTCTCTTCTATAGGGGGTTCGACTTGAGAAGCTAACTCCCTCCAACGCTGAGCATACTCCTTGAACGACTCTTTTTCCTTCTGAGACATACTTTGAAGCTGACGACGATCGGGAGCCATATCCAAATTGTATTTGTATTGCTTCATAAAAGCGTTGACGAGATCTTGGAAGCAGTGGACATTGTTATGCTGTAAGTTCATATACCATTTAAGAGAAGCACCACTCAAACTATCCTGAAAGCAATGAATGAGCAACTTCTGATTGTTGGTGTAAGCTGCCATCTTTCGGAAGTACATGACTAGATGGGCTCTTGGACATGAATGACCTTGATACTTCACGAACTCAGGAGTCTTGAACTTGGCAGGCAAAACAAGACCAGAAACTAGGCACATATTATCGGCATCAACATTGAAGAAATCAGTACCCTCGACAGCTTGGAGTCTCTTGTTTATGATCTGAAACTGTTCCCGGGTGATCTCAGGCTCAACAAAATCTTCTTGAACATCGGCAACATTGTACTCATAGGGAGGATTCTCAACGGGAGCTTGGATAGTTTGATTAACCGTGTGGACCACAGGTTGGGCCTCAGTAAGGATAGGAGCTTGAAAAACCGGTCTGACAGCCTGACCAATCATAGCAGCAGATGCAATAGGTGGAGAGTAGTTAGGAGGTAAACCAAACTCAGGCCAACTAGAGGGCGGCACTGAAACAAGAGGTGGATCAACACTTGAAACTTCCTGAATGACAGTCCTCTGAGGTGGCTCTCCTCTAGCAATCAACACTTGAAGCATCTCGGTAAGCCTGGTCATGCCTGCTTTCAACTCATCAATCTCCATTCGGACCTCCGCATTATGTTCCTCTTGTTCTGACATTTGGCGTCTATAGTTAGCTCTAGTCTGATATCTGTGTCGAGGAATCAGCTTGACGACTCAAAGGTACACTGGAAGACGAGAGAACCGAGAATGAGAAACCGGGGGAAAAATGCAATGCAAAAATGTGATGCTAATGCCATGTAATGGTTCCAAGAATTTCAACGATCGATTGCAAATATTCCCTTTTAGAATCTCTTCACACCTTTTGATATTTTCAAAGCTTTTATGTTATTTTGCAGGGTAAACAAGGTGTATCATACTGCAGCTCGTGCAATCGGTGAATGTCCAATTTATGTTAGGTACAACAGTATTATTATCCCATTGCAAACCTGTTACTTTTACAAGTTTTTCTAATGTTCTGCCTCATTATAACAAATGTTCATACAGATTAAACAAATGTTTCAGTGAGAAACACAAATATATCTTTGTGGATTAAATGTCGGTCGCGGGAACATGGAGTTTGGGTGATTTCAAATGCCGATCCAGCATAGAAGCTGTCAGTTTTTAAAATGCATAGACATCCTTAAACTTATAATTAAACCGGCTTACCTATTATATGGCAGTCTCTGTTGTTGAACAACTTCAAGTGATGGCTTCAAAATGTCAATACAAAGAGGCAGCCGCACAACTGGAGGTATCTAATATTTCTCCTAAACAGGTATTTTGCATGATACTGTTAAAGCACTATAATGAAGAGTTGACTTAGGTAGTTTTGGCGGGGAGGACCTATAGAAGCACTAGAAATGAGAGTAGACTAGATGAAGGATGGTCCAATTGTTAGAGGCGGAGGGAGATCAAGAGAAACTATCGGTAACTATTAAAAGAGGTTTAGATGTAATAGGTCTATCATTGGATTGGACCCAATACATGACATGGTTTTAAGATGTCTACTAATCCATGCAACTGATGCCGCCTAATGGTAAATTCATGTCTAGAATTATGGCTTATGTTGTGTAGTCAATATGATTTAGTCTTAAAATTATTTCATTGTTGCCATTATTTTATTATTTGTTTTATTTTTCTTTCAAACTACTGAACAATACTGCTAATGTGCAGGAAAATATGAGCTACGAGCTTCAAATCCTGATATCAAAGTTGAAGTTAAAATATGATCATACTTCACTTGTGTTGTCTGTGTGTATGCTGACTTCACAGTTGATATTCATTTTCCCTTATTTCTCTGTTCTGTGAATTGTGTACTATCTTTCTGGTGTGCATGAAAATTTCTTATTTTGATTGCTTATTTTGTTAAGACATAGTTGGGCACAGCAAAGAAAACTTGTTGCAGCTGAGTTTTTCATGGACAAAGTTAAGGTATCTATCTATAAATTCCTCAACCTTATTCAACTTTAAAAATATTATGTTACAGAAATATTTGACCTTGGAATATCAGTGACAAATTCATCATCAGCATCTTCTCCACCACCTGCATTGAATGAGGACAGTAAGAGCGAAGGTAACGTCTCTTACTAGTACTAATTATATCTATATACTTTCATGCTTGTCTACCAGGATCTTCTTACCGGTAAAAACCATTCTTCATCTGATTTTGATATTGTTATGAATGTTATATTTAGTGTATTTAGTGAATGGTCTATAATAGTGCGTTTTTGTCCCAAAAACAGAGAAGTTTTAAGGTTTTCAAATAAATATGATGTGTGGGAAATAACTTTCATTAGGTCTAATTGATGTTGCTTTTGACGAGAGTTATTTTATGATTATATTTTCAAACATTATTTATGAACTTTACTTTGTGGATGAATATGTAGGTGATGAACTCCTATTTGACTCATTCCCCTATAAGGAAATTGAGAATGGCTTACTGTGGGAAGTCGAAGGAAAGTGGGTTGTTCAAGGAGCTGTCGATGTTGATATTGGTGCTAACCCTTCTGCTGAGGGTGGAGGTGACGATGAAGGTGTTGATGATCAAGCTGTTAAGGTCGTCGATATTGTCGACACTTTCAGATTACAGGAACAGCCTGCTTTTGATAAGAAGCAGTTTGTTACTTTTATGAAAAGATACATCAAATTGCTTACACCTAAGTTAGAGGCAGAGAAGCAAGAGATTTTCAAGAAGCACATTGAAGGAACAACTAAGTTTCTGCTACCAAAACTCAAGGATCTCAAATTGTATGTGCTTTACAATTATATTATCTATTTTGGTTGTTCTTTGTGCATAAATTATAGTTACTAATATTGTAATTCTCAATATGTGTGCAGTTTTGTTGGTGAAATCTTGCATGATGATGGAAGTTTGGTTTTTGCTTATTACAAAGATGGCGCCACTGATCCAACTTTTATCTACTTTGCCGATGGATTGAAGGAAATCAAGTGTTAGATTAAAACACATCACCGCATTTAGTTAGGATTTTGGATTTTTTTTGTTTACAATAGAGTATTGATTTTCAATGATTTTAATATGTTTTAGTTAGGAGATTTTTCAAATATAACATTCTTATGTTGCTTCTTATATGATAATTAAGTACTAGTACATGTTTTTGGTTATCGTTTGCAATATAATATTTAGTACTAGTACATGGTTTTCTTTATTCAACTTATGTTTTCTAAATTAAGTTGTTTTGATTAGTCTTTGTTCTTGGAATTGGTTACTTGATTTTCTTTATTTAACTTTTTTTTGGATGGTCCAATTGTTAGTTGCTTCTTTCTGTTCTGAAGAGAAGGTGATGGAATTGTATAAGCAAAAATGCGAAGGACCGATTAAGACAGGCATAAGGCGAGGGATAGTAAGCGGATTTGGTTTCGGAGTATCATTCCTCGTGTTGTATGCAGTTTATGCATGCAGTTTTTATGCTGGAGTGCGTCTCGTTGGGGATGGAAAATCTTCATTCTCAGATGTTTTCCGTGTAAGTTACTCTCCTAAATCGGTATTATAAGAATTAATTTTTCTAGCATTGAATTATTTCCTGCTTCATGATTTGCAGGTCTTTTTTGCTTTAAGCATGGCAACTATAGAGCTTTCTCAATCCAGATCGTTGGTACCTGATTTAACTAAGGCAAAAAGTGCAGCTGCTTCTATATTTATGTGATTGTATTTGGCTTTCCCTCACTATCTGTTAGAATTGGTGTCTATACTTGTATTAGGCTAATCTTTGAAACAAGTTGTAGGTTTCACAGTAGAAACAAGTTACATCAGTATTAATGGCTTTATATTTGCTTAATATTGAGTTGTTATATGCTATCTACCTTTGGATGTTTAGTGTCATATTAATATGGTTCTACATAATTTTGTGATAATGAAAAGAAGAGTTAGTTCTGCTGCTGTTTTCTGATAATTTTGTGATAATTTTCTGATATATACTTGGTGCTTTAGAATTAACATGCATTGTGTTAATATACTTGGTGCTTTAGAATTAACATGCATTGTGATAATTTTGTGATAATTTTCTGATATATACTTGTGTTAATATACTTGGTTCTACATAATTTTGTGATAATGAAAAGAAGAGTTAATTTTCTGATAATTTTGGGTGTAATTTGTTGATTGAGTTGGATAGTCTGATTTGGGGATAAATTGTTAAATGGGAAAACTGCATCTGATTTGTGTGATTATCCAACAAAAAAAACAACTTCTTAGGTCGGTTAGTTATACCCGATTTAAGAAAGTAAGTTCTTAGGTCGGGTATAAATGGTTTCTGCAGGCTATACTTATTAAGTCGGGTTCTGCCTAACCGACCTAATAATAGCTTGTTAATTTAGGTCCACAACCGACTTAAGAAGTCAAAACTTCTTATGTCGGTAATTCTTAGGTCGGACTCGGACCCAACTTAAAAAATCATTTTTAACCGACTTAAAAAGCCTTTTTTCCACTAGTGTTTCCATGTTAAGGTCATTGTTGATGTATATGTAAATCAAAGGTTAAAATATCAATAAAACATACGCTCAAGTTCAATAATTCAGAGCGCGTCAAAAACACGATTAGATCTTAGAATCCAAATGAAAATTTTGAATTGTCAAGATACTTTTGAAATTTTTGAGGGAGGGGATTTCACTAAGTGATATTTTATTCACAAAAATTAATTATCCTATAGTACTCTTTCCATATTAAAGGTCCACACCCTATTCAATACTCATAAGTCCATATTATTCTAATCTTGTTGGAATATTTTTATTAGATTTAAACTTATGTAAGAGTATATAATAGAAAAGTATTTATGAATAAGACCAATGTTCGATTAATGATTCAACAAAATTTTTTGGTCTTGGAAATTGTAACTTGGCAAAACTTCTTCTAATTCTTGAGCAATCTCAAAATGGATGGTGAATGAAATATTGGGCTTGAGCTGCCAGCTGTCTTTGACAAATTAATTTCATTTGTTGGGGTGATGATTTTTTTGGGAGGGTTATATGGTGTCCTCTTCATGCTTCTTTAGTTATTTGTTGGGTATTTATTTGCCTAATCTTTTTTTCTTCAATTTGAACTTTGTTAGGCGTATTTTTGTTGCTTTTTTTTTGTACTCTGGATGGTTGAGTCATTATAGTGTTGTAGCTAAATATTAGTGTGGTTAAATTGTATGTGGCTAAATGTTATTGTAAAAATAATTAATAAGTTTTTTTTCATTAATACAGAATAAGAGAAAAATAATAATAAAAGGTGGAAAATATTTTAAAATGCTAACCTTCTTTTTTACGATTTACAAAACAAAAAGGAATTTATTTTGAAAATGAAAAATTATTTGAGTGAGAAAGTACATATGTAGAATGCTTAATGCATTACTCCTCTTTGTAAATAGTAAGTCTTTGAGAGGTATATCTAACACTCCTACACCTATTCTTTGCACCCTCATAATTTCTATATTTTAACCATTTCATAGTTTATATTTATGAAATTATATATTTTTTTTGAAAAAATTACTATCAAAACCTCAGTAAATCCTAAAAATCTAATAGTTATAACAAAAATCGAATATAACACATAACATTTATTGGCTGAAAAAGCTTGGGATTATATCAGACATTTTAGAAAATCTGGTATGTATTTTCAAGCATACCAAATTTATAAAAAAAAAATTCATATATCGTATTTTTCAACTCCCTCAAAAATTAGATATGCAAAATTTTGATTATTCTTTTATTGAGTTGTCTTAAATTGATGAAGATAGGATGTGTAGAAGCAAGCCTCAAGGCCTTTGTGTTTTGATGAAGACAACGCATACAAGCTTGGTACGAAAGATACTTATGTTATATACCTGTGGGGGTATATATATTGAAGATGCTTATATTATACATCCGTAGGGGTATATATTGAAGATGAAACCAGAATCATCATTCTTCTGAAGTCTTCGCAAAAAGCAAGAGACGCAAGCAGGAAAACAAGATCAACAAAAATTAAGAGAGTATCATCGCATACGACTTTATCGATCAAAGCTTCGTCTACAAGCTATAAGTGAAAATGATGATTCAATGAATGGTATAAACATTTTTTACTTTAGAAAATTTATACAAGTGTTCTTTAAAAATCACATTTCACTACACCACTTACACTAATCTTTCAAAACTTTTTAAAAATACTTATTCTATTTTAAATTAAGTATTTTTACAAAAACCTTCAGTGTTAATCGATTAACCTGTGGGGTTAACCGATTAACACAATTTAAAATTATGTATTTTGGGACTTCATAACAGTGTTAACCGATTAACATATGGGGTTAACCGATTAACACTTGAAAAATTCAAATATTTTTAACGTTGGAAAGGTGTTAACCGATTAACCTATTTGGTTAACCGATTAACACTTTAACAACAACCAAAAATAGCAGCTTTTCATGGAGGATTGCATTGTTCTATATTTTCTTACTGGCTATTTTTTACTGTCCCAAAATCACACCTTTTTGGAAAGGTTTTTCACCAGTATAAATTGATTTCTATTTCAAAATCAAAACCAACCTTCAAGAAACAAATTAATCAAATTACTCTTTGTCTTCAACCTTTTGAATTTTCACTAAGTGTTCAAATCATATTTTGAAAGAAGCCATTGAACTAACTTTCACATTCTCACAGTCTTCTTTCACAAAGAACACTTGTATATTTTATCTGAGTATAATTTGTTTCGAGCAGAAGATCAACCTTGAAGATTGATAAACAACGTTCCATCAATTATTTTATCAAGAATATTTTATGTATTACCTTGTTATCCAGGACTGTTGAAAACAAGTGAAGTGTATTGAAGAGGATTGTTCTTCAACACTTGGAATTACCTATAGGTTTAGATAGTAAGCATCACTTTGGATGTGATTAGGCTTTACAAAAATTCTGAACTATAGTGAAATTCTCTTTCGAGTCGAAAGGGGAGTGGAGTACCTTTGGAGTGTGAAGGGAACCGCTATAATTTCCTGTGTCTTTTTCTTTCTGCCTTTACTTTCCGTCAATAACTTAACAACCAAGAAAAAGAACCTAGAAACCTTAACAAGATTGCTAATAATTTTTGAAGATCCTAATTCACCCCCCCCCCCTCTCTTAGGCGCAGTTACTACTTACAATTGGCATCAGAGCAGGTTATAGGTAACCTGTTCCTATCCGATCCAGATGACTTCCGCAAATAACAATCTTGTTTTCAAAGATGGTGGCAGTAGCAACAAGCCTCCATTGTTCTGTGGCGAATATTTCGACTTCTGGAAAATCCGAATGAAAGCACCTCTAGAAGCACAAGGAAGTGAAATATGGGATGTTGTCCAGAATGGTCCATTTCTTTCGGGTAACAGTAGTCAACGGAGTCGGGTCATCAAAACCACAAGGATCATGGGATGATGACGATAAAAAGAAAGTTCTCTACGACTAAAAGGCGATAAACATACTACAGAGTGCACTTGGAATGGATGAATTCTTCCGTATTTCAACATGTTCAACGGTCAAGCAAATTTGGGACACTCTTGTTGAAACTCACGAAGGAACCGCCGAAGTCAAAAGATCTAGATTGAACATTTTGAGTCAAGAGTACGAATTATTCAGAATGAAACCAGGAGAATCTATCTTAGACCTGCAAAAAAGATTCGTGCATTTGACAAATCACTTACATGCACTTGGTAAGACACTAACCAATGATAAACTTAATCTTAAAGTGCTTAGGTCCTTATCAAGAGAATGGCAACCAAAAGTGACGGCGATTTCCGATAATAAAAACTCCAAGAATATGAAACGGAACTCGGAAGATTGGAGAAACATGAAGTTCAAGAGAATAAATCCAAGAGCATTGCCTTAAAAGCTGAATCCAAAGAAGTGGAGAAAGAAGACAACCCCATGATTTTTCGAGGTGCGACACCTACACTAGAAGAATACTCCTATCTGGTTAGTTTGCCTATTCTTGATGAGTCTTCACTTCCT